TGTGTGTGTGTGTGTGTGTGGCCAGCTCAGCCCACCAGGGGGGCGGGCTGGCCGGCATTTGGTGCCGGGGGACCGAATCCCAGTCCCCGTGCTTTGCTAAGCCTGTTCTAAGTAGGTGCTTTAGACCACTGAGCCATCTCACCAGCCCCTAAGGATACATTTCAAGCCTTACTCAGGCAACTTAGCAACTTACTGACACTGTCTCAAAATAAAAGAGGAAGAGAAAGGAGAGCGGGTGGGAAAAGAAAAGAACAAGAAGACTTTTGTGAAGGAAGGCCAGGTTGGGGCTCAGGCAGGACCTGTAAAGATCATCACAGTTGGTATATTCCTCAGCTTTGTAGACTCAGAAACGATTTTGTCTGTGGCCCCGGAATTAAACGTGCGCCATCAACTGACCAACTCTTTGGAGGCCTCATTTTCCAGGTGTTGCTGTTAGTAAAGATAAGCAGAACTTTCCTGGAATGCTGGTGTCTAGTTGTATAATTAAGCAATTTTATTTCAAGGGATGCTATTAATAGTTACTGACTTGTCTTTGGGTCAGATCTACTTTTTGTTAACTTAACCCTTATAATTTTATGTACGTAAACTGTTTCTTGGTTTCCTCAAGAGAAAACTGAGGAAAGTTCTGGTAGATGACTGTTCCAAACTCAGCCATTTAAGTAACATCAGTGGGACTCAGCTCCAGGTTTCCAATTCCATTGTTAGACTTTCTTTGCTCTTGTAGGTCAGTCTTCTTCCTGAGCATATACAGATTTGTCCTTTTCTGGCTTTTTGTGGTAGCGATTGTGGTACTTTTTTTTTTTGTAGTAAGGGTCTGCAGAGTCTCACTGTGTTGATGGGACTCTTACAGGTGCGCGCCACCACACTCGGTCTCCATGGCCATCTCAGCGTGCCCTGGGGCAGGGCCAGCTTGGCATAGCAAGGATTGAAGCCCGGCCGCTGCATCTGCCTAAGCAGGTGCTTTAATCCGCTAAGCTATCTGGCCGGCCCTTGCTTATACTTCTTTCTTTTTGTGGAACTGGGGATTGAACTCAGGTGCTTGCGCTTGCCAGTGCTTATACTTCTGTTGCATATCTATTGGCACTTGCCTTTTTTTAAACTACAGGGTCTTTACATTGAGCTACTTCCTCAGCCATTTTTAATTTTAATTTTTTTGGGGGCACTGGGGATTGAACTTGGGCTGTGCTGCTAAATGATCTCCTCTGCCCCTTTCAGCCATTATTTATTTATTTAATTTTTAATTTCTTTATTTTTTGTACTTAGGGCAGGGTCTACAGGGTCCACAGGGTCTCATTGCCTCATTGCGTAGATCAGACTTGAAGTGATCCTCCTGTTTTCAGCTTCCCAAGTGCTGGGATTGCAGTCACGTGCCACCATGCCCGGTCTCAATTGCCCTCTCCGTGCACCCCGGAGGCAGGCCGGCACAGCAGGCCCAGGATCACACTCCTGGCCCCTGCATCTGCCTAAGCAGGCGCTTTAATCCGCTGAGCTGTTTGGCCAGCCCTATGCCATTTTTAAAATTTTTATTTTGAGATAAGGCTTTTCTAGGTTGATAAGTTGCCCTGGCTGGACTTGAACTAGTGATCCCCCTGCCTTAGTCTCCCTGCGTGCTGGGTTACAGGTGTGTACCACTCTGCCCAACTTTGCCTTTTCTTGTAACTTGATAAATGTGTTATATGCCCATCACTCCAACTGGAGTTTCCTGAGGGCCGAGGGGTCACGTCTTACTCTAGTGCCATGTACAGATTCAGTTAACAGATATTGAGCACTTACTGTATGCCAGGCACTTACAGAACTGAAGTTTGATGGTAAGTAAATGTACTTTTTTGTTTCTTCAGTGTATCGAAAGTGTGTACACGAGTAAGATCATAAGCAGTGACCGAGATCTCTTGGGAGTGGTGTTCTATGGTACCAAGAAAGACAAAAATTCAGTGAATTTCAAAAATATTTATGTTTTACAAGAACTGGATAATCCAGGTCAGTGAGAGTTCATTTACCTCCATGAGAATGTCACAGGCCCCACAAAGGACAAGCAGGAAGGAGCTGGTTCTGTCCCTTCTAGGAGCATGGTCCTGTCCCATCTCGGAGCATGGTC